ACTTCAGTAAACACGGTACTGAGAGTGTCATCGTCTGCCAGACTTTCTCCAAGAATTGCCTTCAGTGCTGTTCTGATGCTCCGAATGAGTCTTTCCCAGACTCCACTAGCATGTGATGCTTTGGGTGGCTGAAAAACCCACTTACATCCTCTTTGCAGAAGTTCATCATTAACTTGGTTCATGTTCCAATTCTCGATTGCTTGCTTGATTTCACGTTCCGCACCAACGAAATTCGTGCCATTATCAGAGTGCATTGTCTTAGGGGGTCCCCATCGGTTGATGAACCTCCTCAATACATTGATAAAACAGTCAGACTCCAGCGAGGATGCCACCTCCAAATGCACAGCTCTTGAATTGAAGCAGGTGAATATAACTCCCCAACGTTTAACGATAGCTCGTCCTCTCTTGACACTTAGGGGACCAAAGTAGTCTACTCCCGAATGCGTAAAGCATGGCTCATACGGAGTAGTGCGAACAGCAGGTAGTGGTGCCATCAGCTGCTGCATGGTAACTGCTCTTTGCTTCTTGCACTTCAAACRTGAGCGCACAGTTCCTCGAACGGCAGATCGCTGGTGAGGTATCCAGAARCGTTCTCTYAGAYGAGCAAGTATGTGATTTTGTCCAGCATGTGCCAGTTTCKYATGAAAGTGAGAAATTAGCAGTCGTGACACGTGGTGCTTTGGTGGCATAATCATAGGAAACTTGGCATCAAATGTCATTGGGGCTTCGGAGATACGTCCCCCAACTCGAATGATGCCATTACTTAAACATGGTCTGAGCTTGAYGAGTGTGCTTGAGGGTTTAACTGTATCCTTACTCTTCAGAGTCTCGATTTCATCTTGATACACTTCTCTTTGAACTAGTCGAACTATTGCCACGGTTGCTTTCTCCAGGTCTTCAGGYGTGAGCTGTTTAGCGCACGTAGTGCCGACAGAGACTCCATTCTTGCGTGTTGCTAGGTATTCTATGAACTTTATAAGCCAAGCTACCTTCCTTTGCAACTTGGACCACGAAGAATATCTCACTAACAGCTGATGTAAACTATCAGGCMGAGTCACTGTAAACRTGGTGGCTTCCTTCTTTTCTTCTGGGTCGCCATCTGGTAGTGGTTGAACTTCACCTTTGGGCCACTTCGTCTCATCTTCTAAGAGAAATGCAGGACCTTGGAACCATCTATTGTTTAACAGTTCCTTTGGCGACAGTCCACGGGAGGCATAATCTGCTGGGTTGATAACTCCCGGACAATGTCTCCATTGCTCCGGATTCGTTGTGCTTCTTATCTCTGCAACTCGATTAGCAACATATGTCTTGAACCTGCGAGACTCGTTGTTCACATACTGGATGACTAGCTGRGAATCTGTCCAGAAGAATACTGCTGATATCGCTAACTGGATTTCCTTCATCACCATGTTATTCACACGAACAGCGATAGTGGCTGCTTGAAGCTCAAGTCGGGGAATCGACACATACTGCAGAGGRGCAGTGCGACTTTTCGATGTTACAAATGCACACTCGACAGTTCCATCCTCCTCCTTCTTCCGCAAGTATGTAACCGTCCCATATCCATACTCTGAAGCATCACAGAAATGGTGTAGTTGAAATGTTGCTCTTGTTGCACATCCTTCAACGAAGTAGCATCGAGGAATGTTTACATTATTTAGAAGTGGAAGTTCTTCGCGCCATTTTCTAAAGACATGTAGCAAGTCGTCAGGAAGTTGTTCGTCCCA